CCAGGATGGTCTCGATCTCTTGACCTCGTGATCCACCCGCCTCGGCCTCCCAAAGTGCTGGGATTACAGGCTTGAGCCACCGCGCCCAGCCAATTCAAATATTTTTTAAGTGTGAACTATAGGTAGGCACATTGCTGTACACAGAAGATAAAAATACATATTTCCTACCTCGTGGAGCTCTGGTAAAGGAAACAAATGTTAATCAAGATTATACAAGTTAGCATAAAATTATAATGATGACAACTGCTATAAAGGCAGTGGTGCATGGTACAACAAGAATTTTTCTTTCAGTATTTTCTTGTTTTTTGTTTTGTTTTGAGACAGTGCCCCACTCTGTCATCCAGGCTGCAGTGCAGTGGTGTGATCTCGGCTCACTGTAACCACCACCTCTCAGGTTGAAGTGATTCTCCTGCCTCAGCCTCCCTAGTAGCTTGGATTACAGGGAACCACCACCACACCTAGCTAAATTTTGTATTTTTTAGTTGAGATGCGATTTCACCATCTTGGCCAGGCTGGTCTCAAACTCCTGACCTCAAATGACCCGCCCACCTCGGCCTCCTGTAGTGCTGGGATTATAGGCATGAGCCATCTCACCCGACCCTTGTGTTTGCTTTTTTACCCTACTTGCAAGCTAAACAAGAATTTATAATAAGAAGAATGGACCTGATAGGGAAGCCTCTCTGAGAAAATGGTAAGTGACCTAAGGAGGAAGAATAAGCAATAACCAGGGAAAGAGGCAGGAGAGTGAGGAGCTACTTAGTTGCTGAACAGCTGTTGGAACAATTTAAGTAGAGAATACCTGGAAGGCAGCTTGGATTATGGTGGTGGTGGTAGAATGGTGCTGGTAGTGGTGCTGACGTCGTAGACTACATGAAGAGTTATGAAATAGTGGCGAGGCACGGTGGCTCATGCCTGTAATCCCAGCACTTTGGGAGGCTGAGGCCGGCAGATCACCTGAGGTCAGGAGTTTGAGACCAGCCTGGCCAACATGGTGGCCAGGTTGCTTCCTACCTCTGCCAACTGAGTTGTTTTGCATAGTAACTGATAAGGAAAACAGGCCTGGCCAGCATGGCAGCTCACACCTGTAATTCCAGCACACTGGGAGGCTAAGGTGGGCAGACCACTTCAGGCAGGCCAGGAGTTCAAGACGAGCCTGGCCAACATGATGAAACCCCATCTCAAAAAAACAGGCTGTACCAAACCATAAAACCCCTCTTTGCCATGTACTTGGCCAGAGGTCTGATTAGGGGAGCAGGTGGAAAGATTTAGGGGGATCTCCCAAATTTAGAGATTAGGATTGGCTTATTAAAACCTGCTTCAAACTAGAGTTCACTATACACCAAGAAACCCCAGAGAAAGAGCAAAGCAGGTGACAAAGCAATGTTATTCCTTTACAAATTCTACCCTCCTGACCCTTTGGTAGTATTTTTTCAAGAATGACTTTTCACTAATGCAGTTTTGTTGGGGCTAGAGTTTAGGTCTCTCATGTTATGGTTTCACACAAGATTCAGGTGTCAAATGTTCATGTATGTATGAAATAAATAATAAGGGACAAGTATTGGTGCTAGAATGAAAGTCATTTGACAAGCAGATCTAATACGGATTATGCTTGACAAGCAGATCTAATATGGATTATGCCTAGGACTCTTATCTTGACTCCTAGTCCAGTATGCTCTACCTTCATACCACATTGCAATAATCCAGCAAGTTTTTCCATATCCTTGTCTGTCCTGCATGGTTTAGTAACTTGCCTCTCTGGGGTTAGTTATGCAGACAGGGTGTGGGCTGGGCAGTATCACCAGGGTCAAGAGGCTGATGTCTCAGTCCACCAACTCCTTAAGCCTGGTGTTCTCAGACTGGGCTAATCAGGGCCTGAGGTGATACACTTTATATTATTCAGAGTCAGACAAACCCACATTTATAACAAAGTCAGTGTATTAATTACAATTAGGTTTTATGCTTCTAATAGCTAGAATTTTCTTGATTTCTCACTATCACCATCCAACTCCTCATTTTTTTCTTCCAGGTTATATATGTGTGTGTACGTATGTATGTATTTTTGTTTTGTTTTGTTTTGTTTTTCTGAGACAAAATCTTGCTCTGTTGCCCTCGGTGAAGTACAGTGGTGCACTCTAAGCTCACTGCAACCTCTACCTTATAGGGTCAAGGGATTCTCATGCCTCAGCCTCCTGAGTATCTGGAATTACAGGCACATATCACCACACCTGGCTTATTTGTATATATTTAGTAGTGATGGGGTTTTGCCATGTTGGCCAGGCTGATCGTAGCCTCCCAAAGTGCTGGGATTACAGGTGTGAGCCATAGTGCCTGGCCTGTTTTGTTTTGTTTTGGAGACAGGGTTTTACTCTGTCGCTGAGGCTGAAGCGCAGTGGTGCGAACATGGCTCACTGTAATCTAGGGCTCAAGAGATCCTTCCACCTCAGCTTCCTGAGTATTTGGGGCCACAGGTGCCTGCTACACATCTGGCTAATTTTTTAACTTTTCTGTAGAGATAGGGTTTTGCCATGTTGCCCAGGCTGGTCTCAAACTTCTGGGCTCAAGTGATCCTCCTGCCTTAGCCTCCCAAAGTGCTGGGATTACAGAGCCATCGCACCTGACCCAGGTATATATGTATATTTTTAGCAATTAAAGTAATAGATTGTTTTGTGAATCTGGAAATTATAGAAGAAGGAACTAGATTAAGACCAAAGGATAGTTAATAAATTCTGTTCCACTGCGTTACCTTGAATGGGCTACTTGACTCCCTGTAGGCCTCTTGTCTTTCTTATAAAACAATAGCGTTAATAATAGTAATTGCCAACACTTACTGAGCATTTACTTTGTTCCAAGCATTAAGCTTTCCACATACATTTAATCCTTAGGCCTTATCCTATAAGGTAGATACGGTTTTTATGCCTATTCTAAAGATGAGGATACTGGCTGGGCATGATGGCTCATGCCTGTAATCCTAGCACTTTGGGAGGCCAAAGTGGGTGGATCACAAGGTCAGGAGTTTAAGACCAGCCTGAAAAACATGATGAAACCCCATCTCTACTAAAAATTAGCCAGGTGTGGTGGCACACACCTGTAATCCCAGCTACCTGGGAGGCTGAGGCAGGAGAATTGCCTGAACCCAGGAGGCAGAGGTTGCAGTGAGCTTAGATCGCGCTGCTGCACTCCAGCCTGGGTGACAGAGTGAGACTCTGTCTCATAAATAAATACGAGAATACTGAGACATGAAGAGGAAAAGTAACTTGTGCAAGTTCACATAGTTGGCAAACCTTGGGGCCAAGATTTCAGCCCGGCTTCAGAGCCTCTGTTCTCATTCACTGTAGTATGCTGACTTTCCTTGTAGAAAGGTTGAAATGAACAATAAGGCAGTAAAAAAGAAAAAATTAGCTGGGCATGGTAGTTTATGCCTATAATTCCAAGACTTTGGGAAGCGGAGGCGGGAAAATCATTTGAGCCCTGGAGTATGAGACCAGCCCTGGCAACATGACAAAACCCTGTCTCTATAAAAATAAAACAGTTAGCTGGGTGTGCTGGCACACACTTGTAGCTACTTGGGAGGCTGAGTGAGGATTACTTGAGCCCAGCAGGTCAAGGCTGCAATGAGCTGTGATTACACCATTGCCCTCTAGCCTGGACAACAGAGTGAAACCCTGTCTCAAACACACACACGAACACACACACATATTCACTTCTGACATAAATATTTATAACACATGAAATCACATTATGAATAGTTTTCACTCTGAATCATGCTTTTTTCATTCAGTGTTATGTTTTTCTACCACCCATGTTTTTAATAATTCTTCATATCACTATTTATAATGGCTATAAAATATTTCTTGCATTAAATTATTTAATCAGTCTTCTGTTTGTCGGGTATATAGGCAGTTTCTAATATTCATTGTTACAAATAATGCCACAATTAAATCTTTGACTAGTCTGCAGTTTGGACTGTTTCCTCACGATCTGAGTTTGAAAGTGCTCATTTCACTTTATTCTTGCCAAGATTGTCAAGACTTTTTTAAAGTAAACTGTTCTGACCAGGTGCAGTGGCTCATACCTGTAATCCCAGTACTTTGGGTGGCCAAGGTGGATTGGATTGGATTGCTTGAGCTCGTGAGTTCAAGACCAGCCTGGGCAAAATGGTGAAACCCCATCTCTAAAAGTACAAAAATTAGCTGGGTGTGATGGCATGTGCCTATAGTCCCAGCTACTTGGGAGGCTAAGGTGGAAGGATGGCTTGAGTCAAGGAGGCTAAGATTACAGTGAGCCAAGATCACATCACTGTACTCCAGCCTGGATAACAGCCATATCCTGTTTCTTTTTTTTTTTTTGAGACGGAGTTTCGCTCTTGTTACCCAGGCTGGAGTGCAATGGCGCGATCTCAGCTCACCGCAACCTCCGCCTCCTGGGTTCAGGCAATTCTCCTGCCTCAGCCTCCTTGAGTAGCTGGGATTACATGCACGCGCCACCATGCCCAGCTAATTTTTGTATTTTTAGTAGAGACGGGGTTTCACTATGTTGACCAGGATGGTCTCGAGCTCTTGACCTCGTGATCCACCCGCCTCGGCCTCCCAAAGTGCTGGGATTACAGGCGTGAGCCACAGCGCCCGGCTATCCTGTTTCAAAAAACAAAAACAAACAAACCTATTCTCATAGGTAAAAACTGATATTTTACTGTTATTTAATGTAAGTCATTTCTGGAAAATCTTCACATAGAGAGCTTTAACTCACATTCCATTTACTGATGGATTTTTGTTGCCCAAAGTCTACAGATGTTCCATATTGATTTTGTCAGTTTCATCTTTCCACCCTAGAGTTACCTCTTTTTTGTTTTTTTTGTTTTTTTTTTTTTTGAGACAGGGTCCCACTGTATCACCCAGGCTGGAATGCACTGGCATGATCTCAGCTTTTTCCATAAGAACTCTGCCCACTGTCTAAAGTAGGTAGGACAAACTCTTTGCAGATAAATTGGAAACTCAGAGAGACTGAGTCTTTTAAGTCACACTGCAAGTTGATGGGACTGAAAATAATTTTTTTTTTTTTTTTTAATGAAGTCTCACCCTATCACCAGGCTGGAGTGCAGTGGTGCCATCTCAGCTCACTGCAACCTCCACCTCCCAGGTTCAAGCGATTCTCCTGCCTCAGCCTCCCAAGTAGCTGAGACTACAGGCGCACACCACCACACCTGGCTAATTTTTGTATTTTAAGTAGAGACGGGGTTTCACCATGTTAGCTAGGATGGTCTCGATCTCCCGACCTTGTGATCTGCCCACCTTTGCCTCCCAAAGTACTGGGATTACGGGTGTGAGCCACTGTGCTCGGCAGTCTCTTTCTTACTTCTTAGCCAAGCCACTGTTAATAGTATGATGTGTCTTTTTAGACTTTGTTCTTTATGTATACTCACATGCACATGTGAATGTTTGAATGTGTATGTATGTGTGTGTTTTATATTATATGTTTTCTGAAATTTGCCTCTTTCATTTAACATTAGATTATGAACATCTTTCCAAATCAGTGCATTTAGATTTATCTTTATTTTTAGAACGCAGTTGCATAGTATTTCATCAAATCCTGGGTCATAGAATGTATGTATTTTTTTAAAAAAAAAAAAAAGATATTTCAAGCAAAAGACAACAGATATTCTTGTGGGTACATCTGGTTTTAGGCCTGAGACTAAATGACTTTCAGCAAATTATTCATCTTTGACTCAGTTTCCTTATCTATAAAACAAAGACGTATATGTATCAGAACATGTGGGAAAAGGCAAAAAATAAAGAGAAAAGAAAGAATTTTACATTGTATGATCTAAAAAAAATATAAAACCTTAAATAGTTGTGAAAATTCATTCATTAATTTAGCAAACATCTGTTGAGAGCCTTCTGTGTACCGTGTAGTATTGGCTAGTGTATTTGATGGTATTGTACAAACTGGGAACCCTTATGTATGGAAGTTCACCAGGAAAATACTACAGAAAGAGAATACTACAGGATGTGTGCCTCTCTTTGTCTCCTCTTGCTCACCTTAGTGATATCTCTGAGTCTCTGCTTGATAAGTGCCTCTATACCAACCGCTCTCCTTATCCTGACATCTTGATACGGACTTCTGGAGAAGTGCGACTGAGTGACTTCTTGCTATGGCAGGTAGGTCATTTCCAGGTACTATTATGTTTGTGTCATGGGGAAAACCAGTCCAGTCTATCCACAGAATGGATTAGAGTGGTCCATCCCCACTCCCAGATAGACTGGGGCCAGAGTACTTTGGGGGAAAGCTAAAATCTGGAGAAGCATCTCTAGGCTGTGTCTGATAACATTTGCTATCCATTCCTCATCTGTCACTGGCTTTGCACCTTTGCAAATCCAACTGTAGTGAAAACTTCATTGTGTTCCTATTCAAGGAATGGGACTTCTGTCTTGCATCCCTGAGCATAAGCTCTTGCCTTGGTAACCTGCCAGGGACCCTAGCCCCTCTGGGTTAGAAGCTTGCCTTGCAGTTACTAGTCCCTCTCCTTCAGGATAAAGGGTCATACCTATGTAAGCATGGTCCATGAAGGATGTAAACACTCAAGTCTCCATTCCCTGTTAACTTGGTCCCTGAATAGCACATAACTAGGGAAAGCCCTTGTTCTAGGAGAAGCTGGAGGGAGAGACTCCATTTGGAAGCAGCTCACATGATAAAGTTCCAGAAATTTTAATGGACCACAATCTTAAAAGTGAGCTAATGCCGGGCATGCTGGCTCACGCCTATAGTCCCAGCACTTTGGGAAGCTGAGGCAGGTGGATCACTTGAGGCCAGGAGTTCGAGACCAATCCGGCCAACATGATGAACCGTCGTCTCTACTAAAAATACAAAAATTAGCTCAGCACAGTGGCAGGTGCCTGTAGTCCCAGCTACTCAGATGGCTAAGGTGGGAGAATCACTTGAACCCAGGAGGCGGAAGTTGCAGTTAGCGAAGATCATGCCACTGCACTCTAGCCTGGGTGACAGGGCGAGATTCTGTCTCAAAAAAAAAAAAAAAACAAGAAATAAGTACAATGTGCACCTACTGGTTCTGTGGTCCACTGTGCTGCTCAGATCACATTTGGGAAATTTACTGATGGACTGAGTTTTAAGAGATTACAGAGTCAGTTACTCTGTACAAATTAGTTACATTGACAAACTAGAGGACTTCTTGGAAGAGGTCAAACTAGAAAGCAAGGAATCTCATGTCTTACAAAAAATAAGGAAAGGATAGTGGTCTGGAAAAGGGAAAGAAATGACAATGTATTCTCTTTGAAAAAAATGTTGAGTTCCTTCTTTATGCAGGAAATATAGCAATGACCAAGTCAGAAATGATCCCTACTGTCTTGAAACTTATAGTTTAGCAAAGACAAACTCTCTGAACAAGTCATTACAACCTTAGGAACTGATAATAGGCAGCTCACATAGCCCTGAGATATTTGAAAGAATGTCACTTTGAAAAAGAAACTGGTTCCAGAGAAGATACCTGGGACCTTGGTAGAAGTTGTAGAGAAGGAGGCCGGGTGCGGTGGCTCACGCCTGTAATCCCAGCACTTTGGGAGGCCGAGGCGGGTGGATCACGAGGTCAAGAGATCGAGACCATCCTGGTCAACATGATGAAACCCTGTCTCTGCTAAAAATACAAAAAACATTAGCTGGGCATGGTGGCACGTGCCTGTAATCCCAGCTACTCAGGAGGTTGAGGCAGGAGAATTGCCTGAACCCAGGAGGCGGAGGTTGCGGTGAGCTGAGATCGCGCCATTGCACTCCAGCCTGGGTAGCAAGAGTGAAACTCCGTCTCAAAAAAAAAAAAGAAGTTGTAGAGAAGGAGACATTGGTTTACCATAACAAGCCAAAGAGGCTATCTGACAACTAGTTACCTCACCACTACAGATATCAAGCAGTGGCTGTCAAGAGTGTTCCAAAAGAGATTCTTCATCAGTGATTATTACTAAAGTATACCTGTCTCTCTACTATACATATGTTAGCTCATTTAAACTCAATAGTACACTGAAAGTTAGGTATTCCTATCATGCAGTTTTATATTTGAGGAATCTCAGGCCCAGGTGAAATTACCCCTGCCCAAATAAATGGTAAATGGTTGGAGCCAAAATTCAAAGCCAAGCATTCTGGCTCCAGAGCCCATACTCTCAACCACTGTACCCTACCGATGCTGCTTAAAAATAACAATGGTGGCTACCATTTGTTCATCGCTGACCTTTATCAGACAGTATGTTTCCCAGATGCCCTCTAAGGGCCAAGAGCCAATAACATAATCCAGATGTTATTTCATGGTCCTAAAATTGTCTCTTAGAAAAATCCTGGTGGAATTGTTGATCTGGTCTCACCACAGGCAGGTGATCTGGCTGCCTCAGGTGACTCCCCCTCCTATTAGTGAGTGAATCAGGGCCAGCAGCAGCTGCAGCTTCAGCTCAGGATGCCTGTACCGTCTCATCTCTGGGTGTCTCGGTCCTGCTCAGCTTGCTTTTTCCTTGGAGGACTGACAAGGGATGCAGCCCAGCAACATGTTACTAAATCATACTCTTCCTTCTCTGCTTTTCCCAGACCTCTCACTCCTGCCTAGTGTTCCAACCTGTTCTATGGCCAGAATACACATTTTGGAACCTCTTTGAGGCCATCCTGCAGTTCCAGATGAACCATAGCGTGCTTCAGGTAAGAGTTCAGGGCTGCCCAGACTGAATGGGATGGAAGAAAAGATTAGCATTGATTGATGACCACCTTACTATATACCAGGCACTTCCTAATAAGATGATGATAATGATGATAGTAGCTATCACCTACTGACTATCTACTGCTTACCAGGCACTGTGAACATTTTACATGCTACATCTCAATGTTCCCATGACCCAATGAGGGAACCCTTATTAGCCCTTCCCTTGTGTAAGTAAGCAAATAGAAGAGAAACAATTTAGTTAAGGACATGTAATCGTTAAAAGGTAGGAAGAGGATTTGAGCTACAAGTCTTTTATCTTTTAAAGACTCAGGAAAAGGCTTTTCAGAGAAATTGGCCATTATTCCTTTAAAGTATTAGTCTAATAAAAGATCGTAGCAGTATTAAGGGATTAAGAACTAAATAGCATTGTCTTTCCATTGTGTAAAGCTATGTTGTGTCAAGACTTGAAGTTCAACTTTCAATGTTTATCACCAAATCTAACAGGTTTTATTAGCAGGTAGCATCACCTGTATATAATTAGGTCTCTTCATAATAATGGTGGTGTGGGTTGGTGGTAGCTAACATATTGAGGATCTGCTAGGGCACTTAGGTGATTTCATGTAAGTTTTCTTATTTAACTTAACAACCCAGCAGGTTTGATATCCTCATTTTTCACATATGGAAACAGGGGGGCAGAGACACTTAAGTAACTGTCCCAAGAACCTGAATTTTATTTTATTTATTTTTTTGAGATGGAGCTTTGCTCTTCTCACCCAGGCCCAAGTGCAGTAGCGTGGTCTCGGCTCACTGCAACCTCCACCTCCTGGGTTTGAGCTTTTCACCTGTCTCAGTCTCCCAACTAGCTGGAATTACAGGCGTGCGCCACCATGCCTGGCTAATTTTTCTATTTTTAGTAGAGACAGGGTTTTGCCATGTTGGCCAGGATGGTCTCAACTTCTGACCTCGGGTGATCCGCCCACCTTGGCCTCTCAAAGTGCTGGGATTACAGGCGTGAGCCACCACACCTGGCCTAAGGAACCTGAATTTTAAAATCAAAGCTGGTGCTGCTTCTTGAGTCTGGAGAGCTAATACCAGGAGGAAATAATGATATGAGTCAGGGATTCTTAATCTCCTTGGTATTGGGGTCCCTTTGGAGAATCTAATGAAAGCCACAGACCATCTCCCTAGGAAAATCGCAGATCACTCAAATATGGAATTTTGCATAGAATTGCAAACTTACCATGGAAACACATAGAATACTTTTTTTTTTGAGACTGAGTTTCATTCTTGTTGCCCAGGCCAGAGTGCAATGGCGCCATCTTGGCTCACCTCAACCTCCGCCTCCCAGTTTCAAGTGATTTTCCTGCCTCAGCCTCCTGAGTAGCTGGGATTACAGGCATGTGCCATCACGCCCAGCTAATTTTGTATTTTTCATAGAGATGGAGTTTCTCCTTGTTGGTCGGGCTGGTCTCGAACTCCCTACCTCAGGTGATCCACCCTCCTGAGGCTCCCAAAGTGCTAGGATTACAGGTGTGAGCCAGCGCACCTGGACACACATAGAATACTTTAGAGGGGTTCACATAACCCCTGAAATCTGTCCCTGAATCCCAAGTCCTGAACTCCTGGTGTAAGTCAATCAAATCACAAAGATTTGATAATGTATTTCATTACTTAGTCTTAGAGTATGAGGAAATTGAAAGAAGTTTAGAATTAGTGAAAAGAAAAACGGCAAAGGCACAATTACCCACTGTCAGTGGGGAATAAATATCAGATTTTTCCATATGACCAAAGCCCCCTCTAAAAGCTAAAACTTTACCCTTTTTTGATGGAAAAGTTTCTAAAATGCATCTTGTACATAATTCATTTATATCTACTTCATAGTAGGCACTTGCTAATAATGATGATTAGGATAATCACATTCTATTTTTTTTTAGAGACAGGGTCTCACTCTGTTGCCCAGGCTGGACTATAGTTGTGCAACCTTGGCTTACTGCAGCCTTGACCTCTCAGCCTCAAGTAGCTTGCCAGCCTTACGAGTAGCTGGGACTACAGGTGCACACTATCATGCCTGGCTAATTTTTGTATTTTTTGTAGAGATAAGGTCTCACTATGTTGCCTAGGCTGGTCTTGAACTCTTAAGCTCAAGCAATCCTCCTGCTTTGGCCCCCCCAAGTGCTGGGATTCTAGACGTGAGCCATCATGCCTAGCCATCATATTTTAATGATTACGATAATTATTATGTTTAAACATATCAGTGTACAACAATACCCTTGAGGGGCAGGAATGTTTGCTCTAAGTTAGATGGTCTCAAAATACCTGGGTTTGGGATTTCATGTATATTTTTCTGTGTCTTCCCTCTTTCATTTTTTACTGCTGTCAACAGTTAATTTTGACAGTATTGCTCCTCTTCCTTCGTATTTACTGTTTTAAATTGGCTATAGACAAGAACACCAGTTAGTCAAGCTTGTTGGGATTATGTATATAAAATGAGAGTGAAGTGGCTCTGTGTGAAGACCAGAGGAGCATGGTGCATGAGTTTTTGTGTTTTTATCTCTAATTTGGCTGCTCAGAAGTCTTTTATAGTAATTTCACGTTTTTCAGATACTTTGCACATGGTTGTCAGAGGAGTTAACTCAAGTTTCATTCGTTCCATAAGTATTTATTGAATAGTATGAATCAGGCACTGTATTAGGCACAGGAGAGTCAACAGTTAGCCAGTGAGACAAGATCTCTACCTTTGTAGAACTTGTATTCTTGAGGAGACAGAAATAAGAAAGTAAACAAATAAGTTCTGATTATAATAAGGCAATGAAGAATACAGAGTGATGTGCTAGAAAGTAATGAAGAGAATGCAAAGAGACTGAGGTTTAAGTTTGGGTCTTAGAAGAACAAAAAAGAGGTCAGTGTGCCAAGGGAGAAGGGCATGAAATGAGGCTAGAGTCAGACGTCGGCTCATACAGAGACTTGTAGGTCATGGTAACAAAGCTGAAGGTCTTTAATCAGGGGATGTCAAGATCTGAGTTGCATTTTGTAAAACTCATTCAGAATTTTCAAAGCCAAGAGACAGAACTCCTGCAGTAGTCCAGGTGAGAGAGGATGTACCTCGAGGTAGGGTGGTGGCAGTAAGGAAGAGGAAGAGTTAAGCCGGGATAAAAACAAACGTTAAAACAGAAACAAGTGAAACTAACTATATTAAGGTGATAACCCCCCAGGAAAGAAATTAATTCAACTTACCTGAATACACTTCTCTGCTGTTCAACTCTAGTGGAATCTCTTCTCAGGATAATACAAACTGCAACATTAACACAAACTTAAACATTACTTAAGAGGTTAACATAACACAACATAACATAACATAACACAAACTTAAACGTTACTTAAGAGGTTTGTTAGTCTGGGCACTGTGGCTCACACCTGTAATCCCAGTACTTTGGGAGGCCAAGGTGGGTAGATCACCTGAGGTCAGGAGTTCGAGACCAGCCTGACCAACATGGTGAAACCCCATCTCTAAAAAAATACAACATAATTAGCTGGGTGTGGTGGTGGTCTATAATCCCAACTACTTGGGAGGCTGAGGCAGAAGAATTGCTTGAACCCGGGAGGCAGAGGTTGCAGTGGGCTGAGATCGTGCCATGGCACTCCAGACTGGACAACAAGAGTGAAACTCCATCTCAAAAAAAAAAAAAAGAGGTTTGTAGTTAGTGGGAATGTTGGTAGTGTAATTGTGAAACTCTTATTTCTTGTAGAATAAAACAAGTAAGTACAAATAAATGTTATTAAGAACCAAGACATATAGGTGGCCTTAGCAATTGGGTGTATGTTTCTGCTGTTTCCTGGAATGGGGTGAAGGCGTTTGGGGTCAATCCATTTGTACCTATGAATCATATTCGCAAACTTCTTTTTTTTTTGAGACGGAGTCTCACTGTGTGGCTGGAGTGCAGTGGCGTGATCTCAGC